CACAAGAAAAAGTAATGGTCCAAAAACCGAACCTTGGGGAATTCCGCATTTAATAATTTTAGGTGAAGATTGAACATTGTTAATTTCAACATATTGAGATCTTTGACTAAGGTAACTTTTAATCCATGAAAGAGCATTGCCACGAAAACCATAAAAAGACATTTTGTCAATTAGGATGTCATGGTTGACAGTATCAAAAGCCTTTTTAAGATCTAGAAACACGCCAACAGTTAGCTTATTATTTTCAAAACCATGATATATTCCGTTTACCAGTTCGAGTATAGCCATGAACGTAGAATGATTTTTTCTAAAGCCATATTGGTGGTGGTTTATAATTTGAAACTTATATAGGAAATCCATGAATCTCTTATACATCACCTTTTCAAGTATTTTTGAGAAACAAGGAAGAATAGAAATCGGTCTAAAGTTGGAAAAATTATGACAATCATTGCTTTTGTAAATAGGCAAAACCTTAGCAATTTTTAGCTGGTTGGGTACACTACCATTGACCATTGAAGAGTTGAATGTGTAACACAATGGTACTGCAAGTATGTGAATACTCGTTTTAATAATAGGCGTTCCAATACCGTCTACCCCTTCACTGTAACTATTTTTCAACGAATTAGTGATAGTTATAATTTCAGAAGGGGAAGTTGGGGTGAGGAATATTGACTCATTAAACGAGCCCAACAAATAATCCCTATGATTATTGTCTGATATGTCTGTAAAATTATTTGAAAGAGAGGTCCCAACATTTATAAAGAAATCGTTAAATTTATTAGCAATTGAATGTGGATTACTGTAAGTTCCACTACCATTTTTCATAGTTGAAGGTATCCTATCCTTTTGTTTACTACCAATAACAGATCTAATAATAGACAATGTTGCTCGTAAATCTGATTTATGGTTCAAAAGTTTATTGTGATAATAACTTTTCCTGGCGAGTTTGACAAGGTAATTGTACTTATTACGATAATTCGTATAAGTTGTCTTATTGGAAATGTCAGGATTTTGAAGGTATTTTTTATATAGACGATCTTTTTTCATGGAGAATTATATAAGCCATTAGTAAACAAAGGCTTAGTATTTTTTCTAGTTTGTGTGGTAAAGGTTTTCACTGGGAAACAATCATTATAAATAGGTTGAAGTATATTCATAAATGATGTATATAGTTGGTTAGTAGTCATTGTATCATTATTAATAACATCCCAGTAATAACATCCCAGTTAACACATTACTCCAACCTATATTTCCATTTTTCGCAGTCAACGTAGAGGCTCACTGTCTGCTAAGATCAACATCCCAATAGCTGCATGTTCGCCAGTTGAACAAGACGGTTTTTGGCCTAAGTAGATTGGTTGCAAACCATGGCAATCGAATAATCATAATAAAAAATCTGTACTACAGAAAGTTACTACGACCGATAACGAGGAACATTCCATTCGTGTATAATGGCCCGTCAAATACCAGTTAGAACTTTCTACCGGAACGGCAGAACGATGCGGAATGCGCTAATTACAAACAAGAGGGGAGATAGGCGTAAGCGTAACACCAACTTGATACAAGTGAGAATTTTAAAACCAGGCTCCCCGTCTCCAAGATTATACCTAAATGTTTGGTAATTAACGCTAGATCACTGGCCAAACCAGATGCTGCGTCAGCACTTAATGCTGAATTGAGTATAAAACAATGTTGACATTTGCATAATATCTGAGACGTGACTCACAGAGAAAATACAGTCCAGTCTTATTTGTCCTAGTGGTTATACTTTTGTGATAAAAGATCGCAGTGCGTGTAGACATGGTGGTGGTGTTGCAATTCTTTGCCGAAGTGATTGGAAAGTTAAAAAACTTGCTTTGCAAAATACCTTCGAATGCTTGTGGTGCGAAATTCAGACAAAAAGCAGCAAATATCACATTGGAGCAGTTTATTACCCACCTGACCCAGAGTACTCTGAATCTGAATTTCTAGATCATTTGTCTGACAGTTGCGAGCAGATTTTACTCACCGAACCTAATGCTAGGTTAATTATCGCTGGTGACATAAACCAACAAGATCGTTGTAACCAACATAACCTAGAACAACTGGTCAAAAAGTGTACCAGAGGTCCTAGAATATTGGACGTGTTTTTGACGAATTGCCCTCACTTGTGGAAACAACCCACTGTATTCAAAGGTCTAGTTAGGTCCGATCATTTGGCGGTTATGGTCACACCAAGGCTCCAAACTAGACCCGAACGAAAACATGTTTACTTTAGAGATGTTAGGCACCACCGAAAGATTGTTATGGAGAATAAACTAAAAGTTTTCGACTGGAGTAAAGTCTATAGTGCTAATGATGCTGAGGAAACAGTGTTGCTCCTGAACCAAGAAATTGTTTTGATGTTCAACGAGAGTTTTCCTTTAATCAAGATTAAAACCTCCTCACGTGACCCACCTTATATGTCCCCATTAGTGAAACAGTTATGTAAAATACGAAAAAACAAATAAGTAGAGGAACCAACACTGAACTTCAGGAAAGAATAAATAAACTTATTCGAGATAATCAAATTCGTGCTGTGTCGAATGATAATAAAAAGTATAAACAAGGGGCAAAAGGTTGGTGGAATACTGTCAATAAAATCACGGGCAGAAGTATAAAATCCCATAACATTAGTTCCTCCATCGATCCAAAATTATTACCACCTATTTTCAAAGCGTAAATACGGACACTCAGTACACACCACCACAACCCTTAACAATCTCCCAAGAAATTCGAATCCCGAAGGTTGATATACAAACAGTTGAAACGTTCGTGATGAAACAAAAGCGAGCTTCACCAGGCCCTGATGTACTTCCATACTGGCTGTGGAAAGACTACGCTCACTATCTTGCACCTGTACTTACTAAAGTATTAAATCTCTCCTTGCATGAACAGCACGTTCCCTCGCTTTGGATACTCGGAAATATTAGCCCAATACAAAAAGAGTCAACATTATCAGACTGCAGCCAGCTAAGACCCATATCATTGACTAATATCATCATGAGACTTTTTGAGAAAATTGTTTTCAGGGAAGAGATTTTAGAACACTCTAAGTTAATCATTGGCCATGATCAGTTTGCCTATAAGAAAGGAACAAATACAACGTCAGCCTTATTAAATGTCAACATCATTGGCTGAAATGGTTGGACGAAGATGCCGAGTTTGTACGGGTTTTATCTTTTGATTTTAGAAAACCTTTGACTCGGTCCCGCATGATATCGTAACTGAAAAAGTTAAACAAACAAACCTAAATCCTTATATCATCAATTGGATTATAAGTTTTCTGACGAATCGAAAACAAAGGGTCGTGGTTGACGGAATTATAACAAGATATGTGGATATTAACAAGGGAGTGCCACAGGGAACCGTCATTGGCCCGTTTCTATTTTCTCTTATGGTTGATGACATTAAACCCAAACAACCTTAAACTAACGTATTGGTTAAATTTGCTGATGACATGACAGTTAGTGCACCAGTAAAGTCAAATAGTGATTCTGCAACAATGGAAGTGAGGAACATCGAGAACTGGGCAAGGAGAAACAGAATGACTCTAAATTTATCAAAAACATGGGAGATGCTTCTGAGTGGTGGAACTTCTAAGCCGCCACCATGCCAGCGCCTATAGAAGGTATTGAACGCAAGGAATGGCTAAAACTGCTAGGTGTTACATTCGAGGACGATGTGTGCTGCTGGGACCTGCACGTTGATGGCTTGTTGTCGAAGGCAGGAAGCCGAATGTATATTTTAAGAGTATGTAGAAGGTATGGACATCGAAAGGAACATCTCAGCTATCTTTTTGACTCAATAATACTATCGTTGTTTTTATACGGTGTTGAAATTTGGGGATCAGCTCTCCAAAATAAATATTTAGAACGCATTGACAAGTTTTTTAAGCGAGCGTATCGATATGGTTATATACTGAAAGAGTATAAAATGTCTGAGCTGATTGAAACGAGAGACAGAATTCTATTCAATAGGATTTTAGATAATCCAGAACATATTTTATATGAACAACTGCCTGAAAAAAGACAAAAAAATTTAAGAAAACGTGATCATCCTTTCATCCTACCTCAAGTCAGAACTGAAAGATTTAAGAGTGAATGTCAGTAAAAATCGAACATATGAGACATTTCGCGGCCACGACTGAAAAATCGATTGTGCTCAAATTTTGCCCAGATATACCTTATTACCTCCGCCAGGAGGTTATGTAATCATCTGGGTTTGTATGTGTGTGTGTGTGTGTGTGTATGTGTGTGTGTGTGTGTGTGTGTGTGTGTGTGTGTGTGTGTGTGTGTGTGTGTGTGTGTGTGTGTGTGTGTGTGTGTATGTGTGTATGTGTGTGTGTGTGTTTGTCTGTGAGCACGATAACTCAAGAAATACCAAACATATCCGTACGAAATTTTGTGAGTGCATTTCCCATCGGCTAAGGAAGAACTGATTAAAATTTGATTGAATTTGGTTAAAAATTGAATGAGAAATAATAAAAGTTTGTCTTGCTTTTCCCGGTCAATTAAATAAAACTTTATACTGAATGCGTAATTAGGACGTGCATAATATATGCACCAGCCATACAAATTCTAATAACAATAGATTACTTCAAATAATTTGCGCTAGGCGGAGGTATGCAGTCTCTGAGTGCCCTCTAGTTATATCCGAAAATGTACCATATATTTTTTTAGGTCAAATGCTTTTCTAACTTTGAAAAAATGCCGATTTAACACGACCACCCTAAACCGCCATTTTTTCTGGGAAAATATGCGCTGAATTTACTGATAAATTTCACGACGACAACCGTTTCTAATCGATTTAAAACCCTAAAAATCTTGTTTTCGGTTATTCAAAGGACGGTATACATGACTTACAGGAAATCTGAGTTACTTTTAGGAATAGATATAATCGTAGTTTTGGGGCACACTTTCTTACTTCATTTACGATACCCTCTTAACAAAGTCGATTTTCACCATGTGATAAAGCCCCAAATCGATCATGCTTCTACTAGTTGGCTCTTTAATAAGCAAGCTTTCAATTGACGTAAATACTTCTTTTGGCAAATGAATACGCGATAAACGACA